TAGCACATGTATTTGTCGGTCAAGTAATCAAACTTTGAGTACCGGTTCCGGTCCTTAATGTTTTTAAATATAGTCTCTTTTACCCACATTTCGTATATTCCGCTTTCCAGCAAATGTTCAATACTTTTAATAAACAATTTAATTTTTAGTTATAATTAAATAATTGTAAAAAAATTACAAAAACTACAATTACACAAAAAAAAGTATATTTAATTTTGTTTAATGTAAAATTTTTGGGCAAAACTTACATTAAATTAATACAGAATTCAGTGAGCGGCGAATTATGGTGTGTCACAGGCATAAAATATGGTAACACTAGCTGATTATCAACCGATCTATACAAATTAGTATAATTCTGGGCTTTGGTGGCAAAATAAAAGTCCAAAAACAGCTGATCCGAGACAATAGCTCGTTCGCCATCATTGATCTTTTGAAACACTTCCAGTTCCCACTCTTTTTGCTTATTATTCTCCGGGTTTTCAACGATAGACCGGTTGAAGAAGTGACCAAAAAGCGGTTCCGACGTGTCGTTAAAGTACTCGACACTAGTCTCGCCATCAAATATGATAAATTTAATGTCACTTTTGGCCAAATCGGCGATTGAGTCAATCTTATTATAGGGTTTGGCCACTACTAGGAACGACAGGAGAGCACCGGAAAAGGCCGATATCACTATAAATGTGGTCAAATACCAGATCATCACTATAGGGGCCGTAGTGTCTGTCCTCTTCAATGTCTGCACACTTTGTTTGAATATAATGCCAATGAAAACAATAAACACCTTATGCTTGTGGTTCACTACATCGGGAGTCGACGGTACGTAATAGCACAGTACAGTTAGCGCAAAGTAAAGCAACCAAAATATTAGCCATATTTTGTACTCAAATATTTTTAACAACCGGAATATGGATCGGGAGGCGAGCGTTTTGGCCGACAGTATGGACAGCATAGGCACGTCCGACAAGATGTGGGTCAGTTTGAGGTATTTGACAAAGTTGGGCGCCTGCAGGTTCATGGGTGGGTAGGGGCTGAGTATCAGGTGGATCTGTTTC